AATATATGTTGAGTAAGGGCAAACCTGTATATAATTAACATCTCCCCAACGCAAAAATTCATCTTGAAGAAAAGAAATCAGGATGTTCATTTTAACGCTGTATAACACATTGCAGTGAAAGCTTAGTGCTTGTACATATCCATTGTAACTTGCACAAGTGCCAATGTGAGTTGTGTCATTCCTTCTAATACATGTACACACCTGTCTGCTGTTTAATTGAAAGTGCTGATCAGTTCTGCTTTTTGAATTGTATTTGGAGCCTTATGATGTTCTTGAATGGCATATCGTAGCAGATAAAGATTTTCTGTTAATATTGCTTTCACTGGCGTCTCTAACTGGCAAATTTTGGGAAGAGTTCCATCTACATACATCATTTATTTTCCTTTGTAGTTGTTTCTTAGCTCTAAGAAAGCAATAAGATTTCCTAAAAAGTATAATTTAGAAGGGAAAATATGAAAACCTTTACTTTGAAACTCTCTGACAAGTCTAATATAGGGTTAGTGCGCGGGGTGTCAAGTGAACCCATGACCAACTTTTAACCTTAAAAGAGCCAGATTATTATGAACCATCTCACAGCCGGTGGGGGGGGGCATGTATGTGAAAAGCACTCCTTCCCAGTGTAACAATCGTTTGAAGTTGAAGGTTACACATGTGGTAGTTTGTGTGCATTCAGCATGGCAGTGGGAAAAGTATCCATTTTGGGGTGACCTGTCTCAGAAAATGGGCATTGCGCCAGAGCGATATGTTCGATTTTTACAGAAGTGGTGTCAAAATGACCACCAAGAGTTGCTGGAAAAAAACCCTTAAGGACCCAGTCGTGAAAACAATGCATTGCTGTCATGTCAGAAAATAGGTTGAGGGTGACAGATCAACCCCCTGGCTCCTTTAGGGTTAAATAATAGCCAAGGTTTCAGTTAAATTTGGAACAGTTTTTATGCCCTGCCTCATTCAACTGGGTTCTGCTCAGGATCCAAACCAAAGTTTGTAAATATTGGCCATTTAGTGACAATGATGGTTGAAAACTGGAACCAAGCCTTCACAGAAAGAGACTTTTCATTTTATGCCAACTACTGAAGTAGATTACAAGCAGACTTTGAAGTATTCACAGAGAACAGAAATGAAAAGGTTAATGCGATGCCTGCTGACTTGTTTCATTTTCTGTCTCCGCTTACCCATTTCCAGTTCACAACTTTTGAATACCTGACGGCCACGGCCCATCCGTTTGTCTCCGAGGAGCTGTCCACCGGAAAGGCCAAGCCGTTCTTCCACTTTGTGTGCGGAGGTATCTCAGGGTGTGTTGCCACCGTTGCGTGCCAGCCCATTGATGTGGTCAGGACAAGATTTGTTGCTCAGGGAGAACCCAAGGTATTACCACTTACTGCTTCCTTGAGTTAGTAACAGACTTATGGGTAATTCCAGAAATTAGGGGTCCAAAAGTGAGACATTTTTGTGTCCCTGTTACATCCGACCTTTGTTATTTGACATGGAAAGATCACTGGAATTCATTTCAAATTATTACCATTTGTTTGGCAGGTAATTTGCATTAATTCATCATGCTTGGAAATTAGAAAACGTGTTCTGAACTTACAAAAAAACGTATGTCAGATGTGACAGGGACACACAAAAAATGGACCCCTAATTTCTGGAAATACCCGTATGTAAACAGCAGCTTATGTGCAAAACACATGGTACAACATGTCCGTTTACTTTCACTTTCAAAAGGGACACGTTTGAGTGCAGCGTCTTTGAGATCTAATCCTAATCGCCCTGAACTCACCGAGCGATTCTCTTCAATTGCTGAAGACTATCTCTCTATAAATTTGTAAGCATTAGCACCTTGCATAGTAAAACTTAGAAAGTAAAAAAGGAAAGGTATGTTTGTTACATTTTGGGTATGTTTTCTGTAGAAACGCATAGGCACCAAAAAAAAAAAAAAGGTCAGGGTGTGAAGATATGTCACAATACCTGTTAAAAGGGTTTTACTAGAATATGATCAGCAAAAATTTCTTCAGATTTTACTATTATTCAGATTTTTTAAAAGTTCTTTTCTTGTTTTCTTCAAACAGTTGTACAATTCAAGCCTAGAAGCTGTCCGTCTGATGTACAGGGAGGCAGGGGCCTTGACCTTCTTCAAGGGTCTCCTGCCCACCCTGCTGCAGGTCTTCCCATTGGCTGGTTTCCAGTTTGGCTTCTATGCACTCTTCAAACGAATCTGGGAGTTCGTCTTGGACGAGCCCGAGCAAACCTCTGGCATCCATGAAACAAGTGAGTTGATCTTTTCTAGTAAGGTTTGCTGTACTGTGGGTGTGAGGTGTGAGGCTTTACTCGGCCACCCTCCCAACCACAATCTGCTCTTCAGTTTTATTGTACACTGAATTAACAATATCCACAAGGTTCCACAAATTCATCCGGAAGTTAAGAGGATTGTCCCAAATGAGAGGTGACCAGTTTGATTATTGTGATATCATATGGAGCAATGCCTCTAAAACCTTGATTCAATGGCTGGATGTGCTCTTGAAAAGAGTAGGTCAGATTGTCCTTAAGGTACCATCTAGAACATCGGCATCAGTAGTAGGTAATGAATTAGGTTGGATAACTCTGCAGGCAAGAAGAGATGCACATGTACATATGAATACTATGGTTTATAAGTGTTTACAAGTATCAGGCTATGTTCCCAGATACCTTACAAATATTTTTGTTGTAGTCAGTGAGCTACACTCGTACAAAATTAGGAATAGCTCCATTGGTAATGTTGTATTTCCACGCCCTAAAACAGAAAGTGGAAGATCTTTTAATTTTAGGGGTGCCTAGACATGGAATAAATTGCCACAACAGCTGAAATCTCTGAGTCCAACAAGTGTTCGTCTTCTTGTACAACAGCTTAAGCAACTTAGTTTTTTGTAGATTTTGTGATCAGTTGTATTATATTGTCATGTTATAGTTTACTGTATTGAGTGGTAATTTATGAATTTTTGTGGAACTGTGTGCAATTTTGGGGTTTGATTACATGTACATGTAGTTGTAAAATGAGTCATCTTTTTTGCTGTTTTTTCCCTT